CAGTTTTTTAAAATAAAGCCTCGAATTTCGGAAAAAAAACGGCGGAAGCAAAATTGTACACCTAATAGAATTAAGGCCACAAAAAAGCACATTTATGTCTTAATTGTTTGCGATCGAATACATCAAGCGAATCATGTAATTCAAGTATATACCGAAAGTGTAGTAAAAAACATAACACATTGTTACACATAAGCGCTCCGAATAGTTCGCAATCAAACACGCAGGCAGCAGGTCAAGCAACCAATCCTCCACTCCCCGTCGCCACGCAATGTACATCAGGTCATCGTTCGTTAAATATTTTACTGTCTACCGCAATTATCCATGTATATGATTCCAATAATCAAATTCATTCATGTCGAGCATTACTTGACAGCGATTCTCAAATGAATTTCATAACGAAGGAGTTAGCAAATCGCTTGAAGCTCAGGGAGCGACCTCTTGATGTATCAGTGGCGGGAGTTATGGATGAAATAATCCGCTAATAATAAAGTAGTTAATCTTTGCGTTAAATCATGTTTTAATAATTTTTCCGAGAAAATGGACTGCGTGGTGCTTCCAAAAATAACACAGAAGTTGCCACAGCACTTCATACCCATACAAAGTGTGTCTGTTCCAAAATATATAAAACTCGCTGATTCTAGTTTTAATGTACCAGCAAGCATTGATATGTTAATCGGGGCCGAGTCCTTCTGGAGACTCATTTGCGCGGGTCAGATCAAACAATCAAAAAATCAGCCGACTTTGCAAAAGACACATTTTGGATGGATCATTTCCGATATCACACCAAGTGACATGACAACCGGATCTGTTCTTCCCTTAATTTTCATTTAATCTCATTCGATGACTTAAGGCTCACATTGAATCGGTTTTGGGAGGTTGAACATGATACAACTTCTAAACCATTTTCTCTCGAAGAAAAGGCCTGTGTAGAGTCATTCCTGCGAGACGTAAAGCGAAATTTAGAAGGTCGTTTTATCGTTAAGTTGCCAACAAAGCAAGACAAGCTGGATGAATTGGGAGAATCCAAAGACATCGCTCTAAAACGTTTCAAATCGTTGGAGAAGCGGCTTATCACTCAACCTCGCATGTACGACGAATACAGGAAGTTCATGGATGAATACAGGCGCTTGAATCACATGAAGGAAGTGACTAGTAGCATGATGCTAAGCCATGGCTTCCAGCTTTCTATATCATGCTGTACAAAATGAAACGAGCTTCACTACCAAGTTCAGGGTGGTATTTGATGGTTCATGCAACGATTCGACTATCTTTAAACGACATATTGAGAGTAGGATCCACACTACAAAAGGATCTCTTCTCCATTTTGGCCAGATTCCGAACATTCAAAATCGCTCTCACAACCGATATAGCAAAGATGTATCGGTTCTGGTCGATTCAACTCAGACACCATTGCAGCGTATTTTCTGGCGAGAGTCGCCAGATGAGCCCATAAAGACTTTCGAATTACTCACTGTCACTTATTGTATGTCATCAGCATCATTCTTGGCTATCAGAGCCCTGAGAAAGTTAGCGGAGGATAATGCGGATTGCCATCCGAGGGCGTCGCAAATAGTATTGAGAGACTTCTACGTCGATGATCTCGTCACGGGAGCCGACTCAATAGATGAAGCTCTGTCTATCAAGGAAATCACTGCATTGCTGCAGGACGGGAAATTCGAGCTCAGAAAATGGGCATCCAATGCTCTTGCCCTTTAGGATCAAAATTCCAGCGAGCCAAGAGAATTCACCTTATTCTCAGACAAGAACTTCGAGAAGGAGGCGTTAGGCATTGCATGGGATTGCCAAGCTGACGTATTCAAGTATTCGTCCATCAATCATCTGCCTCCTCTGGAGACGCCTACCAAACGAAGCATTTTATCACGTATATCTCTCATTTTTGACCCACTGGGGCTGCTAGGTCCAGTTACATTACTCGCCAAGTCCATCATGCAGGACTTCTGGCGATTCAAGATTGGGATGAATCGATTCCTTTAGAATTACATACCAAATGGAGATGCTTCGAAGCGGAGTTACAAGAACTGCATGGCATACGCATTCCTCGTCTTGTCACAACCAGAACAATATACCAGTTTGGAGCTACATGGGTTCTCAGACGCTAGCGAAATTGGATACGGAGCATGCATTTATTTACGCTCCACTTCAATTAACGGTGCTTATCGCACACATCTATTTTGCTCCAAGTCCAGAGTGGTGCCGTTGAAGTCTGTCGCTTCCGCGCCTCGAGTTATGTGGTGCATTGCTACCGGCTCGTCTCAACAAGATCTCCAAATGTCTCACCTGTCCAATAGCATCCATTCATCTATGGACGGATTCTACAATTGTACTATCATGGTTGCAATCGTGCAGTCGATCTTGGTCAACCTTCGTGGCAAATCGCACTGGTGAGATATAGGAATTAATTCGATAATCGATTCAGCAATGGAATCACGTTCCGAGTCAGGACAATCCCATTGTCCCGCGGTGTCATGTCGGGTTCCCTGGCGCAATTGGAAATCTGGTAATCGGGGCCCTCCTGGCTGGGACGTGACAGAAAAAACTGGCCTCAAGAAGCCATACCTGCAGATGTCGCCAGCGTCCCTAAGCGAAAACTTAAGGCTACTACTGCAGTGAGCGCTGGTGCACAAGAACCTGACATATTCTATCGATATTCAAACTTTACCAGGCTCATTCGAGTCTTTGCGTACATGATTCGTTTTAAAAAAAAGGTTCCAAGAATTTAAGGGATTTATCCGACCATTCTCAGGAGATCTCATCTTTGCAGAACAAGGACATTCCACCTGTATCTTTCAGTGAGCAGCAACAGGCAATTTATCGTCTAATCAAAATAATAAATACAAACGAGACATTTTCCAAGTGAAGTGAAGGCACCACAAGGCTGTCCTATAAACAGTCTCATCTTAAAATTAAATCCATTTCTTGACGATTCCGACATCTTACGTGTCGGCGGTCGTTTGAGAGAATCTCCTTGCCTTATACCTCCAAGCATCCTATGCTGTTGCCTGAAAATCATTCATTTTCCCGTTTAATTGTGATACACAAGCATGAAAGGCACTTTCATGCCGGACCATAAGCTATTCTGGCCGCGGTGCGTGAGCGTTACTGGCTCATTTCGGCCCGTAACGTCATTCGACAGATTCTCAGGAGATGTATCGTCTGTTTCAAGAGTTCACCAAAACTCGCTTCCGCTATTATAGGAACCGCGAGTAAAATATCTTCGAAGATATTTGATCAATGTGAAGTGGATTATGCCGGCCCCCTCTATTACAAGGAAGGTGTTAGGAGATCCACTAAGCTAATAAAATGTTATATCGCAATTTTTATTTGTTTGATTCAAGGCGATCCATATCGCATATCGAGTTGGCGTCTAACTTGTCGTCAGAAGCATTTCTAAACGTCTTCAGGCGGTTCGTAGCAAGAAGAGGTCTCCCTTCAAACATCTTTTCTGACAATGGACTAAACTTCGTCGGTGTCGAATGCGAATTGAGCGAGTTAAGGGATCTGCTATGTAATGAATCAATTCAACAACATATCCAAGATCAAACCCGAACTCCAGGAGTGCAATGGCACTTTATCTCACCACGGTCTCCCCACCATGGGGGTTTATGGGAAGCCGCCGTGAAGGCAACCAAACGACATTTGGTTCGCATTACAAAGAATTCCAATTTGAAACGCGAGGAGCTGGAAACATTGCTCATCCAGATTGAAGCAATATTAAACTCACGTCCTCTCACCCCTCTTTCTGAGAACCCCAATGACTTCACCTCTCTAACTCCCGGATACTTTTTAGTGGGTACACCTCTCACAGCGTATCCAGAGCTATCCCTGGACGAGGTACCTGTAAACCGTCTCTCCCGATGGCAGTACATACAGCTATTTTTGGAAACGATGGACCCGCGAGTACCTTCACCAATGCCAGGAACATAACAAGTGGCAGATAAACGAATCATCCGTACATGTAAGCCAAATGGTTATCATCAAGGAAGACAACACTCCTCCACTATCATAGCCTCTGGGAAGAATTCAAGACATACATCCAGGCAAGGATACCATAGCACGCGTTGTAACGGTGCGTACTGCTAACGGCAGTTACAAGCGACCGATTACTCGTCTCTGTCTACTTTCAATTGAAAATTAAAGTCCAGTTATGATATTGGAAATTTGAGGTTTTTTGTGTATCTCTTGGTGTTCATGTTCATGTCTTAGTATTATTATTTTCATCGTTGACAACATAATGTTATTTTGTGGATCAAACATTCATTTTATATTTATTGAAAGTCGATTCTTTCAAGGGCGGCGGTATGTTGGCGCTTATCAGTGTGTGTATGGCTCAGCGGGCTTGATACCAGCCCGTTAGCTTTGCGGCGTGATTGCGGCGTGTTAGCGACGTGCCGTGTCGCTGATGGGGCCCACCGAAGGGGAGAGCATGAGCGCGACTATGCTGCCTGCGTGTAAACCGCCGCGCTTCTCAGTTTTCTCGAAGATTCCGTGTGCGACCTCCTCGCTAATATCACGTGCACGACCGGTGTACAAGAGTTTTATTATTTTAATTTTATCATAGAAGACGCGAGTGTAATTCAAGAAATAATAAAAAGAGGTCTTATATCAAGGCAAAGAAAGATATCATTCATTTCATCTTTTATCACACGCTGCCAATACCGACAAGGACAAGCCACAAGGCAAGAGATATAGATCTCGGACAAAGAGAAAATAACGCTCCACAGAGCGCAACGGGGATACCAAGGTCTTCTACCCTAACAATTACATTCAATCGCATTGCCTAATAAGAGATAACATATCACTGATAAAAGATATTTTTGACACTCAATAAAAGGGATTTATTCTCAATTTATTTATACTAAATTATATATATAATATATAACGTATGATGGTATCACACATTCTCTATCCACATTAATGACTCTTATGTTATGTATACTTCTTAATGTTATGTATACTTCTCATAACATTAGATTATTTTTTGCCTTTTTATTTTTACTTTTTATTACTTGCGATTCGTTTTGTACTTTTCTTTTTATTACTTGCGACTCGTTTTATACTTTTCTATTATTTTTGATTTCTTATTCTTGTAGCAATTCTATATTACATTTTGTATTTTCTAACAGAAACTCGTTCTTAGTCTACATACACAAGCCAGAAGAATACCTTTTTGTCGATTATAACTTCTTTATAACTTTCATTTTATATTGGAGCGAGATTTATATTTGATACTGCGATCGAGAGCGAATTTTAATTTTTATATATTTTATCTATGTAATATTCCCATTGTTATTTTTGTTCACATTGAAAATGATCCAACAGGGAATCGAAACGTTTGTTTTATTTGTCAAATTAAAGTTTATATTTTAACTTGATGACATGTTTTATTTATTAACTGTTCAAAAAATTCTTTTATTTTATGATAATTGTTTTAGGCTCGTAGCCCTTTGTCGTTCTGTTTGTATAATATTAGGTGTAGTAAAAAGAAATCCATTATTTTTCCAATAGATTCCTTTAGTAATCTGTATCACGCGTAGACGCGTAGAGATACAGATTACTAAAGTCATCTATTGGAAAAATAATGGATTTCTTTTTACTACACCTAATATTAATTGTCTCGTAGATCTTGCTTCGCCCAGTTATAATTTATCTTGTCAGGATTGAAAAATCTGGAGAAGGAGATTATTAATGTTGGAGAGGTTTCTGAAGAAACGGTCTCTTAAATTTAAACTGGCTTTAATTGTAAAACACACAACTGGAATACACTTGTACTACCGGCGCGTTGACGTATAACTTGTAATTCCGTGATACGTTAAAGCGATTGCGAGGAAACTAGTGAGACTCATTCGCGATATGACGACGCTCCGAAGATTTACCTTTTTCGAATTCTCAGAACGAATCGCCCGGGGCAGCCGTGCTCCGGCGTTTTTATTACATCTCTGCCAGCATGAGCGCCGCATGTTCGAGTTGGTGATTTTACTTTTCGGCAGGTGTCGTAAGCGATCAGATGTCGGTGCACGTGCGAGGAGAGGGCTTGATTGCTTGATTATATTTTACAGTTCAGCCATTCTGCCAACGCATTTATCTTCGAATGCTTCTCTTTTTTTTTAACAATCTTTGATGTTAGAGGTGGCTTTAACTTATATTTAGAGTTAATATACATCGATGCAAATATTCTTTCTTTTCTGTTGGAACAATAAAAGTTTCCGATTATCTTGACTATCACATTATTAAATAGTCGGTACTCAGCGAATCCAGGGTTTTAATTTATCCGTCGTGCTAAATTTCGGAATGTCTGATCTAAGATAACGGTTGTGTTCCAGTTTAACGATTTCGTAGGGCCTTTCATACGGCGGTTCTAATTTTGAATTTTGTCCTGGCTTCGCCTGTAATTTACGTATCATCACGTATTCGTCTTTCTTATATTGAGTCGGAACAATATATTTTTTGTCATAATGCTGTTTATTATAGTTTCTTAGGTTTTGAGTAGCTGCTACGGGTTGAGTCTCGTTTCGTAAGATCTTTATCGATGCCTGCCAAATTATCGATTAAATCTGACAGAATCTTATCGGAGTGATCACGACGCCCCAGTAATAATTTCGAAGAGAAATTTTTAATTCCTGTATGGTATGTGTTATTTAAGACATATTGCGCCCGATTCAAATGAGCGGTCCAATCGGCAGGAGAATTTACCAATTTTTTTCAGTGAGGATTTCAAAAATCGGTTCACCTTCTTGACCAAGTCATTTGTCCATGGTGACTACAGCCACGAGCCTATGTTTTATTGATTGCGAGTTTACAAACGTTTGAAACTCAGAGGAGATAAATGCAGAACCTCTGTCGGATACTATTTCAGACGGGAGTCCAAAAACGTTAAAGAGGCTTTTGAGACCCGTTAGCTTCTTTTGAATTCGTTGTTTTTATCGGGAAAAGCCACGTGAAGCGCATGCACGAATCAATGATTACTAAGATATACCGATAACCTTCGGTAATTGTAATGGACCGAAATGGTCTACATGCAAAATTTTGAAAGAGTCCTTTGAGAGAGGTATTATTTGTATTTCTCCTTCCTTCGCATGGGAAGTAAAGTTAATCATTATGCAATTTATGCAATCATATTTATCGATATGATCAGTAACTTTTCTCCTCATAGCCGGGAACCAGTAAGTGTTCGAAATGCCTTGACGCCGCAGTGTGCCATTTGATCGTGATAAACACGAATTACATTTGTTACCATCGATTCGGGCATTACGAATCGAGGGCAGTCAGTATCTTTTTTATCAAACTTTTTCATCAATTAGTTGGAATTTATCACTATCCGAAAATTCCAACTTGTGCGCTATCATTTGAAGAAACGTCTTTTAATTGTTTCAGTTCGAGTTCTCTCT